GCCGGCCTGGGTGGGGGGAGAAGGGAACAGACATCTCGGAAACACTGAAGCTGCTGTAGCTGAGTTTCCGAGAGCCGGGCCCAGGCTCTCTGTTGGGTTATCCCGCTGTAAACCCAAACCAAATCAGCTCCCTCAGGGGGCCCGAGCCACCCTTTCTCTCTCACTTCTACCTTCCCCAGGCTCCGTGCACTGGCCAAAAATAACCAGCTACAAATACATCTCCTAAAATTAGTGAGCACTGAACTGAGAAGCCAGCAATGAGTTCTGCTGTCAGTGCCCCAGAAGCCAGCCGGGGACTGGCTGGGAGCCCGAGCTTTCATTCCCTTTCGGTGCTGGAGTTTATTCGAATCGGAAGCAGAGCAACAAATGCCCTGTGCATCCGCTTTATCTGCAGGTACAGGAGTCACTCTCGTCAACACACTGTACTGTCCTCGCATCCTCCTATCCCTAAACATACAGTTGACACACACAGATACCACTGCACTGACTAGTACGCAGCTACACAACACACACACATTCACACTTAACCACTTCAGAGACAGTCAATCAACAAACACCAACTTCATATATAGACGCATACTATACACACACGTAGACATACGCATCTATATATGCACATCTATACATACACACCTATATACACACTCTGTGCATTCACATCTATATATATCTACACATACTGCATATAAATACATACATATCTACACACACATGGACACACATATTAAACTACATATACTTCGTCATATTTGTGAATATACACCTAATGAAAAGAAAAAAAACCTACATTTATTTTCAATCCAACATGTTTTACAACTAATTCAGTGTTTTTGAGATGTAAGCACTGATGTAATCTAAGGAGAAAATGGAAATATCTACTGAATGTACACACATATATATACCTGCATTCACATTCCATTAAGGGGGAAATCCATCTGACCAAACAGCAAATACTATCTTCATCCATATACACAAACTGAAACCATTTGGTAGACCAGACACATCCAAACAACCAACAAAAACTAACTTCATAAACACACACATACAAATATCTTTCTATATACAGATGCACACCAAAACAAAACTTTGCATATGTACATGCTGTATGACCAATGCCTAAACTGGTCAAATCTTAACAGACAGAGCTGCCAGACTAGACCTGTGGAAGGTGGAGAAAGAACAAACATAGGGAGAACAACTTGGTGGACAGCATCTTCACCTATCCATATATCTATGGCAGATTCATTTGCTTAAGACGCTATTGGCAGGAGTGACCACTGCAGAGTCTTTATAGAGACTACATCCTGTCTTCATTCTGAGGACATCCTCAACTTGTATGTTATCATTGTTCTAATTGGGATAGAATTAGACCTAGCAGTTCACAATTGGAGAATTATGAGGTCATTTATGAGGCTATTTACAGCAGTAGAATAGTTCCTTGCACAAGCTATAATCTCATGCCTGGCTCATCCCCTACTCTATCACTATCATCAAATCAGACACCTATGCTGGTTCAGTGTGAAGTGCAGAAGAATGTATCTGGAGCAACAATAAGCATACTGAAAATGAGGTGCCAACCTAGTGAAGTCACACAGGGCCACAGGAATGCTAAACAGGAGAAATGACACGGGATGAACGGAGTTAAATAATCACACAACCAATGGATCAAGTCAAAGTTTTGCCGTCCTGTCATGTGGTGAACAGTTAAACACGTAATGAGAGGAAGAAATTCCAGAAATACCCCCATCCTCAATGATGGCAGAGCCCACCACATGAGTATAAATGAGCAGACTGAAGCTTATGCAGGTGTTTTCAGTCAGAGAAATGCTGAATGGATTATTCATCCTGACCTTCTCCTGAGGTTCACACCATGACAAATGCCAGTTTTCAGCCAAGTTGATTCACTGCATACAATATCAAGAAACAGTTCAGTTGATAAAATATAGACAAGACGCTAGGCCCTATGAAGTAATTGTGGCTACAGTATTGAAAACAGGCGCTTTAGCGTAGTTGCGTATTTAACCAAGCTGTACTAGTATAGCTAAAAGATTGGCATTTATCTAACAAAGTGGAATATCTATGTCTTTTCCAACAGGTCATATTCAATCTGGCTAATTACCACCCCTTTGGCCTACTCTCTATATCTGCCAATATGACATTTTTAAGGTGAGAGGGGAGACTTGAAAAAGGCATGAAGAGCAATTTTTTTTACACAGAGGGTGGTTTGCGTGTGGAATGAACTTCCTGAAGAAGTGGTAGATGTGGGTACAATTACAATGTTTAAAAAACATTTGGATAATTACATGAATAAGAAACGTTTGGAGGGGTATGTGCTAAATGCAGGCAGGTAGGACTAGTTTAGTTTGGGATTATGTTCGACATGGACCGGTTGGACCTAAGGGTTTGTTTCCGTGCTGTATGACTCTATGATGGAGGGTATGATGGAAGTTATTACTGCCTGTTCCATCAAATGGTACTTTGTCATGAATAACCTGCTCACTGATAATCAGTTCAAGTTCTGATGGACCTCATCATAGCCTTAGTTCAAAAATGGATAGAACAGCGGATTTTCACAGGGCAAAGTCTGCCCTTGACATCAATACAGAAGTTGACTTTTTGTCACATGAAAATACCCAGTAAAATTGAATTCACTTGGGATTGGGAAAAATTTTTCACTGACTGGAGTAATAATCAGTTCAATGGTTGTGGTTGTTGATTATCTTAGTCTTGGGATCTAACTTCAGAGTTGCTCAGTGTAGTGTTCCATTGTCAGCCCCTTGATCAACAACTTACCCTCCATTATCAGATTAGAAGCGGGAATGTTTGCTGATCATTGCACAGTGTTTCATTACATTTTCAATTCCCCAGATACAGCAGCAGTCAATGCCCACTAGCAGCAAGGAATGTGTAATTTCCAGTTCTCGGCCAATAACATTTACATCAGGCAATGATCAGTTCCAATGGGACTTTCTCTTGATTTTCAATAGCTCTACCACTGTCAAACCTCACACCATCACCAATGCTGGGTGTCACAATTGAACTATAGTGAGCTGTCCACAAAAATATGATGGCCAGCCACATTGTGGGTCTGAGGGCATGATTCTAGCTTTGGGATTTTCACTGAGTGGGTGTGGAGACATCTGGTCAAATCTTGGACAAGCTCTTTTGTGCAGTCCCTTTGGACTCAATTCACAGATTGCATTCTCTATATATCCTGGCTACAAGAATGGGCCTATACTGGATATTGTGCCATTGACTCTTTGAGGTCAGTCCACCCATGAGTAAGGCCAAAGTAAGGATCCTGATGGAATGCTGCCTCCTTGCCTTGCAGGTGCAGCTTCAACAACATTCAAGAAACCTGACAAAGCAAGTTCCTTTCTGACTACCACATCAATCAGCTTAAACCTTCTCTCCCTCCACCCCTGGTGCATTATGGCAGCAGTATGCACCCTTGACAAATTTACAGCAGCAACTTACTAAGGCCTCCTCCACAGCACCACCCAAAATGGCAACATCCGCTATTTACAAGAATAACATGAACAGGCTCATGAGAACTACTTACAAGTTTCTGATACAAGCCATACTGGGTTGGAAATATTTCTGGATCTGATTAATAATCCGAATCTTGGTGTGCAGGGAACAATTTCAGAGTTTTCAGATAACACTAAACTTGGAAGAATTGTAAACTGTGAGGAGGACAGTGTGGAACTCCAGAAGGATATTGACAAGTTGGTGGAATGGGCAGATAGGTGGCAGGTGAGGTTCAACACAGAGAAATGTGAGGTGATGCATTTTGGTTGGAAGAATATTGAAAGACAGTATAAAATAGGGGTAAAATTCTAGAGGGGGTGCACAAGCAGAGGGACCCGGTTGTATATGTGCACAGATCACTGAAGATATCAGGACAGGGGGAGGTGGTAGTTAATAAGCTTAAGGTGTTCTTGGCTTTATTAATAAGAGCATAGAGTGCAAGAACAAGGAGTTGATGTTAAACTTGGATAAGATACTTGTTAAACCTCAGCTGGAGAACTAGGTACAGTTGTGGGTGCTACCTTATAGGAAAGATGTGAATGTATAGGAGTCAGCGCAGAAGAGTTCCCAAGAATGGTTCCAGGAATGACAAACTTCAGGGATGAGATAGATTGAAGAAGTTAAGACTGTTCTCCTTGAGAGGAGATCTAATAGAGGTTTTCAAAATTATGAGTGGGTTGGACAAAATAGATAGGAAGAAGCTGTTCCTGCTCAGGACAAGAATGAGAAGGCATAGATTTGAAGTGATGTGCAAAACATGCAAAGGTGATGTAAGGAAAATCTTTTTCTCTCAGTGAGTAGTTAGGCATGGAATGCACTGCCTGGAAATGTGATGGAGGCAGGTTCAATTTAGTTATTTGGAAAGAACAGTGTGTAGGGATTTGGGGGAAAAGCAGAAAATTGGGATTAGGTAATGCTGTTCATTTGAAGAGTCCCTGCAGGCACAATGGGCTGAATGGCCACCTTCTGCACTGTAACAATTCTGTGATTGTGTGATATCACTCTTCCTTAAAATCCAGGAGCTCCCTCCCTAACAGCATTGTGAGTGTACCTCCAGCATAGGGACTGGAGCTCAACAAGACTATATCAAGGCAAATTAGAGATGGGCAATAAATACAGGGCCAGCCTGCAATGCATTAAATTACTAGGTTACATTAACAATATGAATGAATAAATAAATCAGCTCTTTGTGAATACCCTGCACAGTACAGCAGCCTTTCAGAAGTAATCATGCTGTTTAGAGCACAGGACAGTTTTGCCAACAGATATTTGTATTGTGCCCTCACCAGCAAAACATTCAGTTGGCTATTACGTTTTCAGGTTACCACACCACAATAAATATGAAGCATAATTACAGCAGAGCAGGTTAATCGTTTCCCTGTAGTAATTTAGTAATTAGTGGAATTTCTCGGCTCATTACAATCAAACTCCACAACCATAACGGAGGGGAGGGAGAGGGGTTCACTCACCGTCTCTGCTAGGGTCGCGGTAGACAGGATGACCAGAATACAGCGGAGAGCTGGCATCGGGGCGGGTATCTGTGAAGACGGCTGCTTTAGCCAGCTGGCAGCTCCAGGAGCGAGAGAGAGAGACCTCCAGCTGCCCTTCCCTCCCCTCCCGGCGGCAACAAATCCAAAATCTGGTGGGTCTGAGGTTGAAATGGATCCTGTGCCCGCCTCCCAGAGCCTCCCACAAAGGTTGCTGGAGTTTGATAACCAAGCTGCCTTTATTGGTCGGTGAGGGGACTGAGGTCGGGAGAGCTGCACTACTTGCCTGAGTAAAGGCTTCACCTCCCCAGGAAAGGGTCTGTGTCTCTCTCTCCCTCTCCCCCCGTCCTCGCTTCAACACTTCAGGCCAGTCTCGCTGCTGGTTTGGCTGGCTTTGGGATTCCAGTGCGCCTGGCGATGGCACGGACCTGTGAGCTGTGTTCCCCGAACTGGCGAAGCGACAGTGGCAGAGTTACTGCCCGACCCTGTGAGTGACTTTGAATCAGAGCAGAGCCCCAGGAGTGTGTGTCTGACCCCCTCTCCTTCTAGCCAGGAAATAGCCACAGCCTGACCCGAACACTGACTTGACAGGAGCAAGAGACGGAGATAGGACCAGAGTGTAGAAGGAGACCATTCGGCCCGTTACGTTTGTGCCAATTCTTTATTAGCTCTCATTTCTGTCCACAGACGTTGCAAGACCTGCTGAGTTTTTTACAGCATTTTCTGTTTTTGTTTCTTTATTACAGGTATTCAATTAATCCCACTCCCTGCTGCTTTTCTCTCTATGGTTATTCACCTCCATACAAGTCTGTCTCTAACTCTCAGCTTCTTATTCCATCTTTCCAGCTAGCGGATTCCAGATCCCATCAGATCTCAGATTGGCCGACTGTTCAAGTGCTCCTGCGTGAATGTTGTTTTGTAATCTGGTTTGTTATAAAATGTCAGGGGATGTTTTTGAGGGGGTGGGGAGGTTATGATTTAACATCATTAACATTCACCTGCTGTTTGCCAGGGTCGAACTGGTGGATTCGCCAGAAACGTGCAAATATTCCAAAACTTTCTTTTTTTCCAGAATCTTTTTTTTTTCATCCTTTGTATTTTTCTAAAACTATTATCGGGATTGGCGAGGGGAGGGCTGCATTGTGTGAAATATACATTTCCTTAGAGAACCTCGTTTTTTTTGTTTGTTTGCGTCTTTTTCAGGTGCCCTGTGAATTTGGGACCCCGGAGAATTGTCAGGAGGACTAACTTCCCGTGAATCCCAGTTTCCGACAGTAAAACATCGCAGGCAAATGGAGCGCAAGAAATTCCGCAGATGTCTTCCCCAGATCGACCCGTCCAGCGCCCTCTGGTACGGAGATGCGTTTACTCGTTTCCCACGCACTAAAAGAATTGTTTTTTTTTGTTGTTCAAGGGCAACTGAATAATTTTTACACAATATCTTAGAAACTGGACTAATCAATAATTTAAATAGTTTTCTTTTCTCGACTGAACAGGTCCCTATTGCTGCATCTGTTCTTCCTGAGAGGAATTCAAGCGGTAAGGACACGGCCACACAATCCAGGTTACAGGTCATGTGTAAATCAAAATAACGGGGCTCAGATGTTTAATACGATTTCAGAGTAAATTACATCCCGTGCAAAGTATCCAAACAAATTTAATCTGATTTGCAATCCACCTTCTTAAAATGAACCTTTTGTTCTTTGTTTTTTTAAATATTTTCAACGTTCAAAAATCATCTTTGTTGCCAATAGCATATTTATATTGAAGTTTGTGTGCTGCTTCTGTGAGATATCTCACCCCTAAATTTGGGCCTGGAGCAGTATGGGTCACGAGTACCCCACACCACAATTTTAGACATTTCTCACCGATGTTATGCAATTTCATTTAAATTTTATTTAGATATGCTGCTGGTTATTTCAATGTTCTTATGTGAAGGTTATGTAAACATTAGTTGGATGGTGTTTTTGGATTTTCTCCTCTTCCCACCCCTGAAATTTTGTAAACTAAAGACAGGTGGGAACTCATTTCCCCTCAAATCTTGCTGGATTATGGTTACACTGGCACCAGCAACTCTCCAGGACATAATCTGTTACAGAGTGTGAGTCTGAGCAAGGTCTACCAGCAAGCCATTTGTGGAGAGTAAAATAGCTAAGCACAAGTTGCTATTAAAAAAGAGGTGTTGTGCATCTTAAAAAAGTATTAAGGTAGATAAGTCCCCGTGTCCTGATGGGATCTATCCCAGAATATTGAGGGAGGAAAGAGAATAAATTGCTGGATGATTGACAGAAATTTGTATATCATCTTTGGCCGGAGGTGAGGTCCCAGAGGACTGGAAAATAGCCAATGTTGTCCCATTGTTTAAGAAGGGTAGCAGGGATAATCCAAGAAATTACAGGCCTGTGAGCCTCATGTCAGTGGTAGGAAAATTATTGGAAAAGATTCTCAGGGACAAGATCTATATGCATTTCGAAGCAAATGGACTTATTAGTGATAGACCACATGGTTTTGTGAGGGGGAGGTTGTGCCTTAATAAGTTGTTCGAGTTTTTTGAGGGGTGAACGAAGATGATTGATGAGGGAAAAATAGTTGATGCTGTCTATATGGAGCAAAGATAGTAGGAACTGCAGATGCTGGAGAATCCGAGACAACAAGGTGCAGGGCTGGATGAACACAGCAGGCCAAGCAGCATCATAGGAGCAGAGAGGCTGACGTTTCGGGCCTAGACCCTTCATCAGAAAAGGCTATATGGAGTTCAGTAAAACCTTTGACAAGGACCCTCATGACAGACTGATACAAAAGGTGGAGTCACATGGTATCAGGGGTGAGCTGGCAAGATGGATACAGAAGTGGCTTAGTCATAGGAGACAGAGGGTAGTGCTGGAAGGATGCTTTTCCGAATGGAGGGCTGTGACTACTGGTGTTCCACAGGGATCAGTGCTGGGACCTCTGCTGTTTGTCGTCTACATAAATGATTTGGAGGAAAATATAGCTGTTCTTTTCTTACGTTTGAAGATGATACAAAGATTGGTGGAGTTGCGGATAGTGAGGAGGATTGTCTGAGGATACAGCTGGATATAGATCAGTAGGGGTATGCGCGGAAAAATGGCAGCTGTAGTTTAATCCAGATATATATGAGGTGATGCATTGTGGAAGGTCAAGTACAGGTGGAAATTATGCAATGAATAGCAGAACCCTTAGGTGTATTGATATGCAGAGGGATCTGGATGTGCAGGTCCACAGATCACTGAAGGTGATTGCGCAGGTAGATAAGGCTGTAAAAAAGGCTTACGGCATGCTTGCCTTCATTGGAAAGGGCGTTGAGTATAAGGATAGACAAGTTATGCTGCAGCTTTATGGAACTTTAGTTAGGCCACACTTGGAATATTGCGTACGGTTTTGGTCGCCACACTACCAGAAGGATGTGGATGCTTTGGAGAGCGTACAGATAGGATGTTGCCTGGTATGGAGGATTTTAGCTATGAAGGAAGGTTGGATAGACTGTGTTTGTTTTCACTGGAACGCAGGAGGTTGAGGGGGCGACCTGATAGAAGTTTATAAGATTGTGAATGGCATAGTTAGAGTGGAAAACATGAGGCTTTTTCCCAGGGTCCATTACTAAGGGACTCAGGTTGAAGGTGCAAGGGGGAGGTTTTCACACAAAGGGTGGTGAGTGCCTGGAACGCACTGCCAGAGGAGGTGGTGGAAGCAGACACAATAGCAGCATTCAGGAAGCATCTGGACAAATAAATGAAAAGGAAGGGAATAGAGGGATATGGATCCTGTAAGTGAAGACAGTTTTAGTTTGGAAGAGCAAAATGTGGCAGTGCAGACTTGAAGGGCCGAAGGGCCTGTTCCTGTGCTGTATTGTTTTTTTGTTCTTTGTTTACTTGTTCCTGTCCTCAGCTGTTAGGGGAACACACAAACAGGGGCCATAAATATGATCTTGAATAATAAATCTGATAAAGAATTTAGAAGAAAATAGAATGGTTGCAGCATATTGCATCGAAGCTAGATAAATGCATGATAGAGAACGGATTAGGTGGATACATTGAAAGTGTGAGATAAATTGAATAGAATGGGAGGAAGCATGGATACCAATCAAATGGCTTCTCTGCCTATCTTTTCTCATTTAAGATAATGTTTTAAAGGCCGCCTCTTTGACAAAGCTTTTCTGCCGTAAAGCCACCTTATGTCACATGTTGGAAATTTTACATTATGATGTTCTTCCAAAGTACCTTGGGACATTTCCATTATGTTACAGGAACTATATAAACACAAATTGTTGTTGTTTCTGTGCCATAAATTCTACATAAAAAGCTTCCAGTAAGAAGTCACTGGATGGCAATCATGAACCAAATTGGTTATTTCCCTTCTTTGACTTGGAGTTGATGAGGTCAGCAGCAACATATTCTTTACAATTCTGGTTGAGAACAGCCAAATTAGTACAGACTAGGAATTGAACCTAGTGTTTTGCTTTATCTGGCTTAGTGCTATTGGGTTTTTTCTAAGGCCTTTGGGTAGCTGGCTGATGAAACATAATTAACTGATCCACATGAATTAAGGGAATGTGAAAGATGTGGGTTGAGGTGTACACTTGTAGGCTGTTTCCTCAAATACGATGGGAGAAGGTTGTGGAGGGGTTAGAAGGAGAGGAAAAGGATGTCAAAGTTAATTAGTTTGGGTAAAAAGAGTAATGGAGCTGGGAATGATTTAAAGATGGAGATTGGTGATTAACCACAAGAATGTTGAAAGTATAAGTTAAGCAATTATGGAGCAACTAAATGTTGATACTCAGATTAGGGAGCACTTGTTTCTGTAACTTACAACACTATTCACTTGGCTTTAGAATAATATTCATTGAGGATTTTTGAGGGCCTTGGCCAACTTTTACATAGCAGTTTACCCACAATGCACAAACGCTTTATGATCAATGCACAATGAAACTTGCAACACATTGCATGACTATCCATTACAATGTGTGATTACTCAACAATAACTAGCATGTTTTCTGTACAAAAATAACAGCAATACCTTCAGTACATTTATAACATAGCGATAGACCTCTTGTAAATGTGGACTAACTTATGAACTCCAAGGTGTACACGTATCAGTAATTTTAACTGCTGCTGTGATTCATTAGCTTTGTCCATTGCAGTATAATCCCTGGTTTGGCAAAGAGCCTCCGAATAAGCATTGCTCCCAATTCGAGTAAAACTTGCTCTAAGTTGCATTTGCTGAGAGTTTCCACTGCAGAGTATTTCAAGAAATTTGTATCAATTTTATTTTTAATCCTATTAATTCAGATTTTTTTTGAATAATTTAAAGATGTAGATTGGTGGGAACTAGAGCAACCGGTCAGCAAGTGGAAGTAATAATGGGAAGGTACATGTTATGACCACTAAGTCAAAAAGTAAGGACGGATAGGGACAGGTTAATGAATACAATAGGACTGATGGATTGAAGTTTGTTTATTTCAATGCAAGGAGTAATATGGGTAAAGCAGATGACCTTAGAGCGAGGATCAGTACATGGTACTATGATATTGTAGCAGTTGCAGAGACCTGGTTAAGAGAGGGACAAGACTGGCTGCAGGGTTTCGATGTTTTAGACGAGAGGGAAGTAAAAGAGATGGAGGGGTGCATCACTAATCAGGGAGAATGTCATAGCTGCACTCAGGGAGGATATACTGGAGGGCTCATCCACTGAGGCAATACGGGTAAAGCTCAAAAATAAGAAGGGTGCCATCAGTCTGATAGGATTATACCGTGGACCTCCCAAAAGCCCCTGGGACATTGAGGAACAGATATGTAGGCGGATTATGGAAAGGCGCAGAAACAACAGTGTTGTCATAGTGGGTGACCTTAGCATCCCCAATATTGACTGGGACTTCTTTAGAGCAAGATGCTTAGATGGGGCAGAATTTGTTAGGTGCATTCAAGAGGGTTTCTTGAAATAGTATGTGGATATTCCAACTATAGGAGGGGCCATACTGGAACTTGTGTTGGCTAATGAGCCTGGTCAGGTGACTGACCTTTCATTGGGAGACCATTTTGGAAACAGTGATCACAACTCCTTAACTTTTACGATAGCCATGAACAAGGATAAGCCAGGACCTTGTGGGAAGGGACTAAATTAGGGGAGGGCAAATTACGTTAATATTAGACAGGAGTAAGGAGTGTTAATCGGGAGCAGCTGTTGTTAGGAAAGTTCACATTTGACATGTGGGAGTTGTTTAAATGCCTATTGATCAGAGTTCAGCATTAGCATGTTCCAGTAAGGAAGAAGGCCAACGGTGGCAAGTTAAGGGATCCTTGGATGACAATGGAGGTTTAGAAACCTGAAATAAGACATGGCCCATGAAGAATATAAAGGAACTAGAAAAGAATTCAAGCAGGAAATTAGGAGACCAAGAAAGACCATGAAATGTCCTTGGCAAGTAGGGTTAGAGAGAATCCCAACACATTTTACACATGCATTAAAAGCAAGAGGATAATTAGTGAGAGGGTAGAACCACTCAAGAATAAAGGAGGGAACTT